GTGCAGCAGAGAGCTCACGGGAGCCTGTCACGTGTTCTAGAACTGCCGGAGGGGCTGAAGCCTGAAGAAACCATGCGGAGGTTGAGCAGGACCCCCATACACACGTACTGTGCTGCCACGTTGCACCCCATAAGTACATATAACTGTTACTCATGAACCAGAGATGAAAATAAAATCTGTCCATGGCATTAAAAAGGGTGGGGGGGGGACTTGGGCTGCTCTCGTTAAAGAGGATAAGAAACGGCAGCGTCTATAATCCCATCTCTCTGAGAGGCTGAGCAGGAGGATTGCAAATTCAAGCCCAGCCTGGGTATCTTAACGACTTAGTGAGACTCTGTCTCATAACTAAAAATAAGACAAGGCAGGGGATATATCTCAGGGCAAAGGCCCTGCGTTCAATCTCCAGTACTATAAAGTGTGTGCGTGGGTGTGCTCATGACTGAGCATGTGTGTGTGTGTGTGTGTGTGTGTGTGCGCGCACTCGAAGTTGAAATGGATGTACAAACTACAACAGAGTAAAAGGCTGGGGTGTTTCCCAATACTTCCCACCTTTGACGTTCTTACCTTTGACTTCCTTGGGTCTCCAGGGCAAGATGAAGAGCATAAGACTGGGGAGATAGCTCAGTAGAATAAGCACCTGCCTGAAGCACAAGGTCCTGAGTTCAATCCCTTTACCACACACACACACACACACACACACACACACACACACGATAAAGAACATAACTTGCAAGAAATACGCTAAGGCCTAACTAGAGCTTTTCTGTCTCAGCTTCTTGCATCTGGCAGTGGGGAGGAGGGGTCTCTGCACGACCCTTTGGCCTCTTTGGGCCCTTGCCTCACTTCAGTGAGGAACAGAAGAGTGGCTGTCTCTGCTACAGCTGGCTCATCCTAGGGGTTCCCTCCTCCTCCTTCGGTTGGATCCCCTCTGCATCCTCTTTCTTTTTAGTTTTTGCTCCTGTTTTCTGAAGCACATCCTTCAGTGGGGTGTGTGTGTGTGTGTGTGTGTGTGTGTGTACACTACTGGGGATTGCCTGCCTCTTTTCTTTTTTTTTTTTAAATATTTATTTACTTTTATTTATTACATTTATTTATTGTGTGTGTGTGTGGCCAGCTCAGCCCACCAGGGGGCGGGTTTGGTTGGCTTTTGTTGTTGGGGATCGAACCGCGGTCCCTGTGCTTTGCCAAGCTTGTTTCAAGTAGGTGCTTTAGACCACTGAGCCATCTCTCCAGCCCTGCCTCTTTTCTTTTTACTTTTTACTTGAGACGGCGTCTCGCTGAGTGGTCCTGCTATCTGGTAGCTCTTTAGTCATGGCTCACCAAAGAAATTTCAGGTCCTTTTTGCTTCGAAAAAAGAATTGAATGGGACAAGCCAAATCAGTGCCAAAAGTTAGTTAGTTTATTTATTTATTTATTTATTTATTTACCAGGAATCAAACTCAGGACCTTGCGCTTGCCAGGCAGGCGCTTGTGCCATTGAGATACATCCTGGCCCCAAAAGCTAAGCGAGGGGTGAAAGGGGGAGAAAAAAACTGGCTTTGAGGAGCGAGCTTGGGCTGCACAAAAGAAAGAACAAGAGCAGAAATACAAGCGTGTGAGGAGTCTCCTCTCCTTTGCGCTGTCCACATCTCATGGGAACCCAAGAGCAGCCTCCAGGGCCTTAGGAGGGATTTGGGCCTGTCCTGGGACCCTGTCGTTGCCATTCCCCAGCCAGCTCTGCCACACCCTGCCCCTGTCTCTGCTAAACTGCCCAGGCCAGGCTTAGATTTGCAATCTTCCTTCCTCAGCCTCCCAGCCCAGACTACACCCACCATCTGCAGTTTTTTTTTAATTAATTAATTAACTAATTTATTCATTTATTTATTTATTTTGAGGCATGGTCTTGCTATGAAATTCAGGCTGACCTGGCCTGACTGAGCGTCCGGTCTGACCTTGAACTCCTGGCCCTCTTCCTCCTCACCTCCCAAAGGCTGGGGTGACAGACACGTGCCACTGCGCCACACTCACTTCTAGCTCCTTTTCGCTGTCTGTCTTTGGACAGCTTCGGAGCTCTGCTTCTCTCCCTTTGTGGACAGTGGTCCTCAGAACGTGCTCCGGCAGCGGCTTGCTCAGTGCGCCGGGCTGGGGTCTCCTGTGCTCCCCCCTCACTCTGCGATCTCTTGCCATTGAAAATTCCTCTGAATTTGCTGATGGCCTCCCTCTGTTTCTCTTTCTTTCTGAAACTTATCGTTTTGATGCTGAACTAAACCTTTCATTTTCTTACTTTTGCAACTTCCCACCTCTTTTTCATTTCCATTGTTCGTATTTGGTCCTACTTCCTAAGAGCTCCCCCCACCTTGTATCCTCTCCTCCCCCAGCTCCGAGCCAGGAGATTCTCTTCTCTCCAGCTTCTACTCAGGAAGTTCAGATTTGCATGTTCTAGACTGGAGTATTTGCCCTCACGCACAGCCCCTGCCCTGGTTGCACTTTTCTGTGCTGTCTCCTCCCTCATTCTCTTGGTCCTCCTACTGTGGGTCTTTTTGGGGTCACTCTGCTCAGGTTTCAAAAGAAGCAAGGGACAGGCGCATGCCCTCAGGACCTTCTTCCCTCGCTGCTCTCATTCTCTCTACGTCAGTCCTACTTCTCAAAGCAGCACACACTCCTCCGAGTGACTGGCAAAAAACCAAGTGCAAGAAAGCACGGAAAGGCCCAAATGTTAACATTTCAAGACGCTGCCTGGCAGCACGTCCCACGGGCAAGAGCGGCCAGCACAGGCTCCTGGCAATAGATGGTTTTACTTTCAGGAACTTGGTGAGCCACTTGTTAAAAGATGATTAAAAATTAAGTAAGTTCACCATGTTCATTGTGCAATGAAATAGATCCTATTCAAAACAAAGGTAATAAATGCTCAGAGCTCAGCACTTCTGAATATTCAGTGAGCAAACTATTATTTATTTTCAGTTGTTTCCATGTAATGCATCTTCATGTTAGAGATACGAAGGTGCACTGTGTTCCCTTCACAACCTATGTTCAGCAAAGTCCTATCAGTAGCTTAAAAGCAGTCTTGGGGGGATATTTATACCAGGAAAATCAGAAAATACTACTAACAAGGGACTGATACTGTTTTTCTCACTGCCTATACTCAGAGTGATAGAGTAAATGTAGTAATGCAAATTAAACATCCAAGTGTTTATGTGTGCAGCAATTAAATTGTAACACAAAAAACTGACAAAGCCAGGTATGGAGGCCTACGCTGGTCAGTTCAGCCCTCAGGAAGCTGAGGCAGGAGGATCGCCACAAGTTTGAGGCCAGCCTGGGCTACATAGTGAAAGAAAGCCTGGACTACACGGTGAGACCCTGTCCCCACTCCCACTACCCACAGAAAAGCATCAAAACAGTCTTCTATGTGCAAACTGTTACAGCAGTCCGTGAAGAGATGACTCAGGCATTGACAGATCTGTGAAGTTCTCTTTTCACTTTCATCTTCCTCTTGAATAAAAATCCCAACAAACATTCAAGTGGGAACTACCTTCACGTGGCCGTGGCAGCCATGGCTGGCTGTGGGTAGCGGAGTTCAGGCAGAATCAATGGAATCCTTGTGAGAATCAGTGGGCCACAATGATTCTACAGTCGAGAGAATTCTGTGCATTAGGATTTGTGAGTTGTGTACTGCGCATCTTTTATGTCAGTAAAATACGGAGCACACTTACACACGCTTGAGGACTGGTGGTCAAACACTGACCAGAGCGACCCCACCTGGAACCATCTCCACAGTCCCCATCCTGCGCAAGCAGAAGCCGTTTCACTTTGCTTCCCAAGCCTCATGCAGATTCTATTACCAAGTATGCACCCCATAAACATTTACTGAGTGAGGAAAGGAAGACTCAGAAGCCTCACCTTCGCTTTTTCATCTGAGAGCAAGCAGACCCTGATACAGACCAAGGCCTGGGAAAGTTCCCGCTGCCCGGGGCTGCATTCGGCCACGGCCTCCTGGGGCTGACGCCAAACCCGTGATGACACAGGAAAGAGTGAGGTGGTTGCTCTTTCAAGCACAAGGCGGTCGTCCCATGCCCATTTTTATGTTGATTTGGAAGTTAAGCCACTTGCTGCCATAAATCCAAGAAGAAAGCCAGATCTCCTGCTTCTAAAACACTGCCCTATTCCTTAGACCTTCCTTTTCTTGAAGGGACTCACACTTTCTGACACCAGAGCTGGAAGGGGAAGCTGCTTGCTGGTCTTATGGCTGGCTACGCGACTTTTGTTAAAGACACAGCAATAAGCAGTCAGAGGAATCAGAAAACTTTTCATGCGCAAACACCATGCTTGTTGCAAACCCAGATTTCAATCCAGTAGTCTCGTGTCTCTCAACAATTCTGTATGGTAGGAGTCGTTCTGATGTTATAAATGGAGTTACTTAAGCCTCAGAGAAACCTATACATTTGCTGAAAGCACACAGCTGCTCAGCAGCACACCTGTGTTCCAAATGGCTCTGTTTCGAGCCGGACCGCAGTATATTTCACTTGGATAATGTTTCTAAAGCATTAGCCATCTACCCTGCACTGTTTATCTACCATTTTCAGGATCCTACCACATCTGCCTGCCAATCATATCATCTACTTATTATTTTCTTTGGAACTCTTTTTGTCTTTATTTAGCCTACTTAAGCAACTATATCCATGAAAGAGTGGGTTGCCATGCTATTCTGTTGTCCTAATGAATATTAAAACGGATGCATAATTATAAGAATTAAAACTGTATCTGCTTACCACCTAAAATGATCTGGAGCACCAACAAAGATAGGTGGTCCTCAGGCAGCCTTTGCTTCCTGGGACACCAGAAATGTAATTTGTGCTGGGGTGGGGACAAGGGTGAGGGTTATATTTGTCCCCTTGCCTTCAGCTTAAAGGAAATAAATCAACCTATTTTGCTGAGAGGGAGCGAGGGAGCCTGACTCATGCTTCCTGGGAAAAGTCCCCCTGCTCCAAAGGAGGAGGTTACAAAACCTTCCACAGTCACAGAGCCCTTCCATGCTGCTAGGCTGGGATTAAACTTGGCCGAGATTACTAAATGCCATGGGTGTTAGACAATGGCAGCTTCTGCAGCAAGAACAGAATTAAAGAAAAAGCGAATCAAATTGTCAGAAGGCACCTACGCTGAGAAGCACCCAGGACTGGAAAATCTAAGGAAAGCTTCCAGCGGCCCCCGCTGGAGTTAGTAGCCTGGGCTCTATTCTTTCCTGTAAGTATGCTGGGGGAGGAGGTAGCTGATTGTCTTTCTCAGTGTTTGAGTGGGAGGAAAAATACGGCTTTATGCAAGAAAATGGCAAAAGAAAAAGGGGGAAGTTTGTTTTTTCTTTGGAGCTGCTATAAAAATAAATTTATATCTTTGTGAAAGAGCCTGGATTTGGTTTAGCAGATAGCTTGGAATGTTGACCGATGTATTGAAAAGGGGGGAAAAGCCTCAGAAACTGTACTAGCTATGACGACAGAGATAAATTGAACAGCATAAATGAGTTTCAGATGTCTGTGAGAAGTCAACGCCCACCCAGGCTGGGGCGCCGCGGCCCAGGCTTGCTAGCAGGTACGAGCCCTGGCTTTCCTCCCGACACCGCAAGCGTAAGAGCCCAGCCAGAACAGCCTACGCTTGGTTCTATTTTAATGGATCCCGCGTGTGCCTTCAAGTCCCTCCACAGCATGGGCCTGTGACACCCCCCACAGACCCACCTGGGTACCATGCCCAGGCCCGGGGCCAGCTTGAGAGCTCTACCTGCCTCTCCACTCTCACTAGGGTTTACAGATCTTAATACTGCTGCCTTTTTCTCTTTCTTTCTTTCTTCCTTCCTTTCTTTCTTTCTTTCTTTCTTTCTTTCTTTCTTTTTCTTTCTTTCTCTCTCTCTTTTTTTTCTTTTTTATTTCTTAAAACAGAAAGCTCCCTGTCAAATGTAGAGTAGGAGTGGCCTCTCTTTTTGTTGAGGAAGTAGAATCTTCCACAGTCACTGGAACTTAGGCTCACTTGTGAGTTTGCATGTGGCCTTGGCTGGCTGCGGCAGCTCGGCGACCTCAGTGACCGGCGACGTGGCCCAGGAGCCGAGGAGTCATCCCAGAGCACCGCGGGACGTTCTCTCCCGTTCGCAAGCAGAGCTGGGAGGCTGTAGTCTGTCTGGGAAGGCTTCTTTCACTTGTTGGCAGGACTTGGTTTTGACGCGTAGGATCCTGGAGACTTGCTGCGCTGACCGGCAGGAAGAGAGGGGTGCTGAGAGAGGGGACTGGGGCAGAGGGCGGTTTCCGGGGCCAGGAGAGGGCCGGAGCAGGTCCTCAGGCTGGGGTGACCTGCGCCGCTTGCTTCCTCGCAGCGCCCGCAGTCAGGCCTCGCCGCCGCCGGCTGGCCTGCACCTCAGGCAGAGCGCTGCTGCCCGGGCCTGCCCCGCGCGGGTCCCAGCTCCCCGGGTGGACCGAGGAGCTTCCTTCCATCTCAGCCCTCGGGCTCACCACAAAGATTTGTGCAGAGTGCACCTCACAGCAAAGAAGCAGATTTAGGGCCCTTTTGCATCTAGTCTACAGTGGTTTCCCCAAGTTATGTAAGTCTTGGGGTTCTTTGATAAAGGCTGAAGTAGGACCTTCTAAAAATAACTGATTAATTACCAACCTTAAGAGTCTAAATGGGTTTAATTTAATCTGGGAAAATAATGGAATCGCCTCCACTTTAATTACATCAGTATCAACTGCTGCGTTGTACTACCAACACAGAGAGAGCAGTTTAAAATGTTGCTCGTATTTTCAAGGTGAAACTATTACCTCCCAGTGTCCCCAAGTCACAAACGGGGCCCAGCTCACTCCATCCTCTGCTCCCACACCTCTCCTAAGACTTCCATCAGATACCAGGGGTGCGGGGGACTCCTCAAAGGTGTCCCTGACTCACCTGGCTATTGGCAGCGTCCGTGTCTTGGAGATCCAGGGCCTCAGCTCCTCCTTGGTCGAGTGGGGCAGCCTGCCACGCAGACATTCTGCAGGGGACCATGCTGCTGCGAGCCTGCCCACAGAGGCCAAGGGCATGGAGGGCGGGGTCCCCAGCTCCTGTGTGCTGTCTCATGCACACACAAGCGGCTGGTTCCCTTGGCCATAGTCTGTGGGTCACAAATGGTAGGCCTGCCACCCTGCAGGGGCAGCTCACACAACAGAATCCTGGGAGCCAAGGGGTGAGTAGAGCTGTATCCATAAGTCTGAGAGCAACTCAGTTGTTAATGCTAAGAAGCTAGCAAGAAAATTGTGCTCTAAATACAGTAATTTACATTTAGCCCACGGGTGTTGCATCTTCTCTACCTGCATTTTTTGGGGGAGGGGCTGGTTCAGGCCACCCTGAGGGCAGGGCTGGTGAAGCATGTGGTGCTGGGGATCATACCTTGGTCCCCTGCACCGGCCTAAGCTTGCCTAAGCAGGAGCTTTAGACCTCTGAGCTGTCTCGTCGGCCCCTCGATCTTCATTTTGAAAAACTGATAATTTACTATTACTCATGCCTCTTGAAGCATTTCTCAAATTGGTTATGGAAAGAGACAGTTATGAATAAATATACTTAACATAAAAGTGATCATTTTATTAAAAGGGAAGGCTGGGCTCTAAAGTATGTACTATCCAATATTTTCTAAAATGAGGAAAGAAATAAATGTCTGCTAAATAGTTATAGAAAGGTTTTCTATTTTGCTCCTAGTAAGAGAAATGCAAATTAAAACCACCAGTATACAATTTATTGTGTATCAGATTAGCAAAGATTTGAAAGCCTGTTGGCAAAGTTTGTAGGAAAATCAGACAAGAAATTAACAAGTGCATATTTTCATTTAGATATGTTGGATGCTGTGAAGAAAACAAAAGCAGGGCAAAGGCAGAGTGACAAGGTCGCTATTTTTTATATAGGTGGTTAGAGTGGTCTTTCTGAGCAGCTGCCATTTGAGCAGAAATCTAGGGAGGGCAGAGGGAGAGCTTTCAAGCAGCTACAGAAAACATGTTCCAGAAAGACACAAGCACACAGCTCTGACCTGAGAACCGACCGTCCTTCAAAGGTTGAGGAGTGGACGAAGGCCAGCCGAACTGCAGCAGGACCGACAGGGAGGAAGTTGGTCAGAAATGCGTTGGAGAGGTAGCAGGCCTGGGCTGCGCAGGGTGCTGTGGACCAAGAGCCTTTGCAATTTGAGAGCAGAAGAAAGTAATAGATCTGAGTTTTAAAACAACCACTGAAGTTGATTGTCCCAGAGGGTGGAGGTGGCGAAAGGAATTAGGTGAGCAGAGAAGCCACGGGGTGAACCGGAATGACCTCCGGTCTGCTGAACAGCATGACCTCCAGGAAACCGGGACTTCAAGCCCTCCTCTCCAGCCTGCTGGCCTCTCTGATCCCTGTGAAGCCAGGCACCCCATTCTCCAAGTCCACACTCCCCTTTCCCATACCACCCGTACTGTTGATGAGTAAAATCTCTTGACTTCATCTAAACAATGTGAAAAATCTCCCCTCTCTGTCTCTCTCCATGTCACTCCCTTCAGCCAAGGTACTTGGGACTAGGAAAGGAAAACAAAGTCCAACCCATGCCTTTGCCCTGCGACTGCCAGAAGAGGGGTGATACATCCGGCAGCTGTCAGGCGCCCCTCACTTCCCCTGCCTTCCCAGGGTGGCTGGGCACCTGAGAAAGTGTCTTCCTGCCACCCTGGACACCTTGGCCATGCTGAAAGGAGCTGGGCTTGAATGGCAACCAGGATTGCTTAGGCCAGAGGAGGGCAAGGACGCCGAGGCGATCCCGAGTCCCCAAGCCCCGAGCATCCGGATCAGCACTGCCTGTGCTCCTGAGGACTGTTGGGCCTGGCAGCCGGGATCTCAGCCCACTTTCTTCCCAGGACACGGGAGCCTCAGCCAGGCTGCCTCTTCTGGCAAACTGCCGCCACGTGCCTATCCCAGATGTCCCCAAGTCCTCCGGGACATATCTGCCTAGCCACAACAGTCCCAGACACCTCTGCCTCAGGCCTCTCCAGATGGCGCTTTCCCCACCACTCTGAAAGTTTTCCAGCAGGGCTCCTTCTCTCTCTCTTAGCTGGTGGAGGAGCATCCCTGGGTACTGAGCCGCAGTACTGAACTGCAGCACAGGTCCACAAGAGGCTTCCCCCATGTGGGCCTGTGATCTTCCCATGATTCTTATCTCTGTCAGCCCTCCAGCCCCAGCAGTGACCAATAAGATCAGCGGCAAGTGGCACCAGCAGAGATAGGCCCAGGCGGGTGACAATAGCAGCAGAGACCAGCAGTGTCAGCTGGTGGCAGCAGTGTTCAGTGACAACTGGCAGAGAGCAGCAGAGAACCCGAGCAAGGCAGTGGAAGCCAGAAAGCTGCCAATAGGGCGGTGAGCCAGCTGGTGGGGAGCTGGCAGGGGGCGAGGTGCGGCCGAGGGCCACACCAAGTACCAAGGGTCAGCTGCGCTCAGAGCCTGGAGCTGACGAGCCTGACCCTCCTGTGCAGAGCCACGAGTGGAGCTGCACTTTGCCAGTTTGTGATTTCTAGATGAATGGAGAAAAAGAACCCTTGGCGCTTGAGGACACTTTCACCTGATGGCTTCTTCCCTTCTGCCTCTGCCCAGCCCCTATTCCAACAACCCCTTCTCCACAAGGAGCCACATTTTATATTTTCATTGAGAGTCACAACCAGATCATGCCTAATCTGCCAAACCTTAAAGGCTTCCTTGGCCATTTAGAATAGAAGCAGTATTTCCCTATCATTCCTACAAAGACTTAAAGGCGTGGTGGTGAGCCTATGACATGCATGTCACTGTGCTTTTCTTTTAAGACAATAGTCATGAGTAAGTTGTTTCTTTGTAAATTAAAACCTCAGTATTCAGGTCTAATTGGGTTTTGGGTCACAGTTTGGCACTAGGCCTCTATAAGGTTTGCCATCACCGCCTTACACAGTCCGGCTTAAGGGTGCCTCAAACATTTCCTGCATGTGCAGCCGAATCTTGTCCCTCACAATCTTCCCATTGGTATCATCCCCAGGATTATGGCTTGTTTTATGGCAAAAGGGAGGTTATTTGAACCCTTAAGATCAGGAAGAGGGCGAAGTCAGAGAAATTCAAAACACAAGATCTGAACCACCTTCCCTTGCTTTGAAGGTAGGGGAAGAGGGCCAGGAAGAACGGAGAGCAGCCCCAGCAGGCAGCCAGCAGGGTAATGAGGAGCCCGGTCTCCCCCCAGCCAGGACCCCGGCTCTGCCAGGAGCCTGGACAGAATTCACCTTGGAAGTGAATTCTCCCCTGCAGCCTCCATAGAAACCTCCTCCATTCCCCATGAGGCCTGCGTAGGAGCTGAGCCAAGCCCACCAGGACTTCCGACCGCAGAACTGTGAGGTAATAAGGGGGCCGCAGAACTGTGAGGTAATAAGGGGGCCGCAGAACTGTGAGGTAATAAGGGGGGCCGCAGAACTGTGAGGTAATAAGGGGGCTTTGTTTCAAGTTTACCATGATTTGTATGCAGCAGGAAGTGAGTACTACGCGCTCTCCCCGCCTCACCGTGTTTCACCACTCAGGTCACTCTGCTGCCTTAGGAGCCTTGCATTTAGTTCTTCTCATTTAGACACTTCGGATGGGCTCCTTCTCATCCTTTGGGGGACTGCTTGGGTGTCCCGGGCTTGGGGAGCCCCTCGCTGAGTACCCTGGGGAGCACCCCATCTAGGGTCCTAGCTGCCACGCTTTTTCCCTGAGTGTCATCGTGCGTGGCTCGTGTCACCTGCACACTGTGCAGCACACCTGGCTCGAAGCACTACACAGACGTACTCATTTCCTCACACGATAATCCACGAGGCAACGAGGTGGTGCTGCTGTCCCTCCCGCTACAGATGAGGAAATGGAGGCTCGTGCAAAGGCACACACCTAGGAAGCCACAGAGCCAAGAGTTGAGCCCAAGCATCTAGTCCAGTGTCGACACTTACAACCACGTTTCTTCTACAGTATTTATCACAACCTGAGGTAATTTCCTTCTTTATTCTCTTTCTCTTCCTCCAAACCCCTGGCTATCACACAAGCTTCTTCCAAGTAGATATCTTTTTTTTTAAACATTTATTTATGTGTGTGTGTGTGTGTGTGTGTGGCCAGCTCAGCCCACCAGGGGGCGCGGCTGGCTGGCATGTGGTGCTGGGGATTGAACCGCGGTCCCTGTGCTTTGCTAAGGCTAAGCTTGTTCTAAGTAGGTGCTTTAGACCACTGCGCCATCTCACCAGCCCCCAAGTAGATATCTTATTTGTTCTGTTTGCGTAGTAGCTACTCGGCAAATACTGTGGAATAGACACATATTATTCTCATTGGTCAGGCAAGAAAAGTACTACCAGAATAGCTGAGCAACTTGGCCAAAGTGACATGCTTGTTCGTGAGAGAGCCGAGGTGTGTACCCAGGTCTGTCTAATCTCAAGCCTCCGTCTGCCCAGCACGCTTATTAACTACTTAATTAGAAATAATAACAGCCTGTTGTAACTCCTTTACTATGTAACATTTTCCTAAAGTATGACTATAATTTTCCTCAGTGAGCAAAAAAGTCATCCCTAATGGTTGATTGGAAAATATTGTGACATTGGTGAGGCTCACCCTGTTCTCATCTTGATTCTGTGCTGTGGGGATGGGGGTGTTCCTTTGGGGTTTTTCCCCCTCTCTCCCTGAAGCACATTTTGGGTCAGGGACATCTTCCTCAGGACCCCCAGCTGCCTCTGGGTACCCACCATGCTGCTGACGGGCAGTGTGAGCCATGTTCGCGGCTTCCCTGCCTCAGAGGCGTTGATCTTCCCTGGCCGTTCCGTGGAGTAGCTATTTCCATCTCCCTCTCTTCCCATGCCAGCATCTCTCTGGTCCTAGAAAGTGGCCCTTCCCACCCTGAACTCCTGAATGACAGTGCCCCCTGAAACGCCCTGCCTGTCAGAGAACCGCCTTTCCTTGCAATAGACTCTGTTGCTACATTCTGACTTGATAAAAACGGTCATTACTGTTTAAAGTCTAGAAGCCGAGACTCACAACCGCCCAGCAGAGCCAAGATTCCAGCCTTCGAGGACTTCCTCAATAGCTTAGCATGAAGCAAACACAGTCATCCGGGGCGTTTGACCCAGGCCTCACCAGCAATGGAAGTTAATTGTTTGGTGATTTCCTGTATTTGAAGACTAAATACTTCCTTTTCCAATAACAGACTCAGGAAAACCTCAGTCAATGTGGTAAAATGAGGGCCCTCGAAGGCAGCCTGTATTCAGAGAACCCTCAGTGTGTGTGTGTGTGTGTGTGTGTGTGTGTGTGTGTGTGTGTGTAAGGCTGAACTCAGGCTCATAAGCCAAAGGCTCCTGCAGGAGGAGTCTTGATTATGGTTCTGTGCTCCTAGAGGGCTTGCGGCCTGCTGCCCAGGCCGTCCTGAGCCCGCTGCTCACAAGCAAGGGAGGCAGGCATACGCACTTGGGAGCCGCCGAGGAGCCCAGGCTGCTGAGCATGACACGCAGGCCCTCAGCTTGCCTTTGCGGTCCTCTCTAGAGTGGCCCCGTGTGCAGGCAGAGTTGTTCCCACCCCTGACCCTTCTGTGCTCAGGCCTGAGGGTGCCCTACCTCACTTCTGCCTGCTGACCAGGATGACGCCATTTATCAGCCCTGTCCTTTCTTCTCCATTCCTAAAATAGCTCAAGGGCTTAAATATTTTTGGCCTGGGTGGCTGCCAACAGCTGACAGACACTCTCCAGATCTCCGAGGTTGAATTCCTTCAGGTCCTTCTTCTACTCACCAGGCGAAGCAACTCACCTAAGCCAAAGTGACCACCATATTCCCTGCCTGAATGTTCAGTGTAGCTTTCAGGGCCAAAGTAGAGTCAGGACCATTCACATAAACATGAAGGTGAATTCTGATCCTCGTGCTGCCTGCCCCTGGCAGTGGTCTTCTACGTCTTCTCGCCTGCTAGCTCTCCCTCTCCAAGCTGCAGGTGAAGACTGGAGCTCCCCTGGGGAGCAGACGCAGGTCTGGCCTTCCTCACTTCTCCTTTAGACCCTCTGGGCGACTGCCCCAGAGAGGGCCCGCTACCCTCTGAGATGTAAGATTGTGAGCCAACTTAGAGAAATTTCTAACGTCTCAGAACGGCACCATCAATCAACCATTACGCTATTTTTCTCTATTCTAAGGGCACAGATCAGCTCTGCACTCCCAAAGTTTCCCGTCTACTCTATGGCACAATAAATGTGCTCAATAAAATATATATTGAATAATGAAACAATTTATCAAAGTGTATACATTAATTATGTATAGCTTTTGTATATCAATCATACCTCAGTAAGTAAAGTGTTTTTTTTTTTTTTTTTTTTTTTTTTTTTTTTTTTGTGTGTGTGTGTGTGTGTGTGTGTGTGTGTGGCCAGCTCAGCCCACCAGGGGGCGCGGCTGGCTGGCATGTGGTGCTGGGGATTGAACCGCGGTCCCTGTGCTTTGCTAAGCTTGTTCTAAGTAGGTGCCTTAGACCACTGAGCCATCTCTCCAGCCCAAGTAAAGTGGTTTTTATCAAGAGAAAGGCCACACACAATATCTTTAAAAGGGAGTAAAAAGGGCTGGGGAGGTGGCTCAGTGGAATAAGCGCTCCCCTGGCAAGCACAAGGGCCTGAGTTCAATCCCCGGTTCCACAAAAAAAATTAAAAAATAAAAGTGAGTAAAAAAAAAAAAAAAAAAAGCAGAATGGGGGGGGGGCAGCACCTAGAGGTCTATACTGTCTATAATCCTAGCACTAGGGAGGCAGAAGCAGGAGGATTACAAGCTTGAGTCCCACTTGAGAAGCTTAGTGAGACCCTGTTTCAAAACAGAAACTGAAAAGGTCTGAAGATGTAGCTCTGTGCTAGAGTGTCCTGGGTTTGATCCCCAGTACTAAAAAACAACAACAAAATTCTTTTTAATCTCTCTCTCTCTCTCTCTCTCTCTCTCTCTCTCTCTCTCTCTCATTTTTAGTGTGCATCATTTCAACCTGCTGAGCCCTGGAGTTTTTGCAGTGCTGCAGTTGGACCCCAGGGCCTCGGCTATGCCAGGAGAGCACCCTGCCCCGAGCTATAGCAGCTGCCCCTCATACCTGAACGCGCCTGGTATTGGTAATTACTCTACCGATCTGAAGCAGCCTTCACCTCTGCACCCTCTTGCGCGCTGGGATTTGGGGCGGAAGCCAGAGTGATAAAGAAACAGGCAGTAGCTGGCTCCAGAGGGAGGCTCTGGGAAGGCAGGCCAGGCTGCCCTGGAGGCCCTGAGAGGAGGAGGCAGGGAAGTTTCTCTGCAGAGCGCTTCCCTGGAGGTGGGCACTGCTCTTCCAGCCTGGCTTTTCTGCCTTCTGAGGGTGTAGGGGACCAGGACTGCCGAGTGTTGTCCACTACCAGAGCTGGCTGGCTGAGGACCAGTCCCTCTCGTGAGCGAGTGACCGAGACAGAAGCCACCTCCACAGAGGTTAGCAGACCTGGCTTTACGACTGGCCAGCCCGGGAGGAGGTGGCAGGTGCTCTGTCTCTGCTCAAGCCTGAGGAAGTCTTGCCCCTCCGAGTAGCGAGTAGCGGAAGCCATCGGTGGCGTTGGGCTGCCGCAGGGCAGGAGGCTCCGCTCCGGGAGAGAGGTGCTTGTCTCTGGGGCAGGCCTGGGGAGGCCAGAGGTTCGCGCTGCAGGACCTACAACTTCCTGTCCTTCGCAGGCTGCAGGCTGGGCCACACGAGGAGTGGCCCTTCCCCTGGAGGGTCTCTCTCAGAAGCAAGCACAGCAAGCGTGGCCCCTCCTGTTTTGTTTTTGTTTGTTTGTTTTTTGCAGTACCAGAGATTGAACTCAGGACCTTGCACATGCCAGGCAAGTGCTTATTCTACTGAGCTATCTCCCTGGCCCAGCCCCTCCTGTGCTTGCTGATGGAGAATGGCAGGGCACTGGCTCTCCTTCCCACCCTGCTTGGCTGGCATCCGTGCAGATTGCTGCACAAGTGCGCTTTCCGGGCTGGCCCCAGCGCTTGCCAAGCAGACCCCAGCACTTCACAACACACAGACCAAAGCCTACCACCCAGTCCTGTCCCATCTTCCCCAGCCGGCACTCAGCTGTACTTGCTCCAGTGGAGTTACACAAAGTAGGAGGAAGAGAAGGGTGCAGGCAGCAAAGAGCAGCCGGAAATGCTTAGGAACAGTGGGGTGTGGGTGAGGTCACCGCGCCCGTGGTCCCCCGGGGCCTCGGTGGCAAGCATGGCCCCTCTCTGTCCAGCAGGGAGGGACCGTGTGCTGAGTCCACTGACCGCTGGGCTTTGAAAGCTGCACGTCGTCCCCTCCAAACTGCTCAAGCGCTGACTGAATGGTGTTGGAAGTGAGAACTGGGCTTAGTCCTTTGCAGAATGATAGCTGTTTCTCTATTAGTGACAAAGGAAAGAAAGAGAAGAGGAAAAGGCTAGAAGGGAGAAGCAGCAGAATCGAAAGAAAGGAAGGAAGAAGGTGGGGAAACCGAAAAGGAGAGAACACTGGCAAAAGAATAATATATGCAAATACCTACTTGGGAAAGGGTCTGCATATACTATCTTTCTTTTTGTAGTACTGGTGCTGGAGATTGAGTTCAGGCCTCAAATACGTCAGATGACAGTCTGTCACGGAGCCTCACCCATCACCTTAGGAATCTTTTTTTCCCCCTCTGGCACGTCATCTCGCTGTGCAGCCCAAGCCATCCTTTAACTCTCTATGTATGGAACTTGAAACCCTCCTGCCTCAGCCTCCCAAGTGCTGGGATCACAGGTGTGCTCCACACACCTGGCTCCCAACACATTTTTTCTCTCTCTCTCTCTCTCTCTCTCTCTCCTTTTTTTTAGCAGAACCAGGGTTCAAACTCGGGCCCTTGCACTTGCCAGGGAAGTGCTTATTCTACTGAGCCACCTCCCCCGCCCCCAGTGGTTTTTTTCTTTTTGGCACATTTTCTCTTAACTGTTTCTTCTCTTCTTGGCTGTCTTTTCTGTCTACGTCATCCATACTGTACTGAAGTTTTTCCCATTTGAAAGTATTCTAAACATATTCCTTTGCAAATTACAAGGCCCTCCTGTAAACATGACCACAGGTATGGACCACCCAAGTAATGTGGGATTTAGAGAAAGTACATTAATGTATCCCTCACCCAACAAATATTTGTTGAACCCATTTAGGTGCCACCACCAAGCCTTGGGGCAATGCTGAAGAAGATCGAGAACGGCCTTAGGGAGCGCTCCTCAGCGGGAGGCCCTCTCGCCACTCATATTTCATAGTCCATTAGAGTACACGTCCTCTCTTGAATTCCTAGCAGTGGTTCGATGACACATTACAGTCTCCATCCCAAGGTTACATACACATAGGTGCTTACTGTAATTGCTTCGTAATGATAAAAAGATGATACTATTAAAACTGACTATAGGGGTCGGGGAGATGGCTCAGTAGAATAAGCGCTTCCCTGGTAAGCGCAAGGGCCTGAGTTCAATCCTCGGTTCTGCAAAAAAAAAAAAAAAACAAACCTCTGACTATAGTTAGGGTAATTTCTTATACTTCATAAGAACAGAAAAAAATAAATTTCTATCAAGAATATTAGAAAAAGCTACCCATCAATCATGGGGACCTTCTCCTTAGACAGTTAGCTGCGTTCACCCTCTGAGCGTGCTACTGGTGTTCCCGAAGTTCTTTCTCTCCTGCTCTCTCTGACAGGGCCCATCAGCGATGTACTTGCTTCAAGCAATCTATCCTTCCACTTCCACTGGGGCTGGGAAGCAGGCATTTGGCAGACAGCTAGCTCGGTTCCTCCCCTCGGGGTTCCTCCCCTCGGGGTTCCTCCCCTCGGGGTTTGGCTGGGGAAGGAGAGCTTAGTTTCTTCCTGCTCTTGCAGCAGCAGGCCCCCGGGGGTGAAGGACCGGTCTGCCCGGTTCGGCATGACCGAAACTGGCTAGGTGCATCTGGCTAATTCTGGACTGCAGGCTCAGACACCAGCCCTCCAGCTAATAAGTATCTGTGATAAAGGCATTTCTTAGTCAGGTGTGGTGGTGTACACCTGTGATCCCAGCGTGCTCTGGTTGACCGCCATCGGAGCCATTTAGCAGGAACTTGAGTAGAAGTAAGAAAGGGAGGCTGGGGGTTGAGGGACTGGGGGCCAGTAGCTAGCTCAGCGGACTAAAGCGCCTGCTTAGGCAGGCTAGGGCAAGTGCAGGGCCCGTGGGTCCAGCCCCAGCACCACGTGCCGTGACCTGGGCTCAATCCCCACAACAACAAGGATCTGTTTCTTTCACCTGCCTTGCTCCTATGTCTTGTTTCTCTCCCCCTCCCCCCCAGTTACAAATCAGGGGAGGGAAGGGGCTAGTCATTAGCCCTTCAAGTTAAAGATCTCCTGACAATCATATAAGTAACAAGCGTGAAACTCGGTGTTCTGAGAGAGCCTGAGATCTTCAGTCAGACCTGGATCCTAAGCAGAGGCTGCAAGCTCTGGTGAGGCCACCTCGCCTGCCGCAAAGAGCGTCTGTCCTACTTTGGCCCTCTAGAATGTGTGTGGTGTTGTTAGGAAGGTAAAAATGCACACGCAAGTAGCTGTGGTGGAGTGACAACTGGGGGACAACTTGCAGCACCCGGCCACACTCACTTAATACGTGGGGTCCCCCTGAGGATCGCTGCCAGCAGCGCAAAGGGCAGGGCTGTGGAGGGAGAAGTTGAGAGGCTGTCGGCAGCTTTTGGGGGAGCTGCCTGGAGGAGTTTGCCACACTGGCTTTCCTGATAAGGATTTGGCTGTTTTCATCATCAGAGGAGCTGGGGTCTTTGCTACCGCCGAAGATAGCTGCGGTACCTTTGGGGGAGCTCTGGTGCTTACCTTGAGCGTTGCTTCCCGGCTCCAGAGCAGACCCCTCAGCCTGCTGGC